CGAGTCTTTGTTTTTTGGAAAAGAAAAATTTACATAGATCAATATTTCTTTTTATGTGTTGTACTTGTAAATATAGTTTGCTATATCTTTTTTGATCATTAAGTTTAGTCCTTGTTTAATTATTTGTTTATTATTATATAATTAAATTATATGATAAAGTGAATAAATATTTCAAGTGTTTGGATTGCTAATATGTACTATTGATCTTAGTTGTCACTATAATATCATATTCCTTAGTTGTATATTAATTTATCTAAATTCTTTCTTATATTTATTTGTTTGTTCTTAAATATTAATAATCATAGTTTGTCATATTGGATAATAAGTATTTAACTATTAAGCAAAGTTGTATTATTATTGTTAAGATTGTTTTTTAGTATATAATTGTTTGGATAAATGATAGAATTTTGTTAATTTTGTTTTTGTATATTATTGAATATTTTCTTGAACTATATATTGTAGTTATTATTTAATAGATTTATCAATAATAAAAATTCTGATATATTAATAATTGATAATTATTAAAAGAAGAAGAGGTTGCACTAGGGATTAGTTTTAAGATTGTATTAAGTGCCTTGTACATATTTTGATTTATTCTATTTATAGATTCATGAATCTATTGTTGTTGAGTTTAGATATTGGAATGTTCTTTCTTGTTTTGTTGTGGAGTAAGGTTCTTGTTTTGATTTGAAAGATATTTTTTTTATTCTCTGTTTCTATAGTATTTGATAAATTGTCTTCTAGGACTTCTAGATTATATACTTTTCATCTAAATTATTAATGCTTTCTTTGATCTCTTTGATCTCTTATTTAATTTTTCTAGAATACCTATAATATCAACTGATGTTGGGTTGCCCTTTTGAGTCTTATTTGATTAGTGTTATTCAGATTTAGCAGCTGTTATATATAAGTATAACTTGATTTAATAGTATTGAAAGATTTTAATTTGGTTTTTAATTGGAGTGATATATACTGATCTGAATTTATTATATAATTTTCTAAGCTTGTCTACTTGTTCTTTATTGTAGTTCTTTTATTGTATCTTTCTTTTTTTATTAAATAGCCACCGAAAAGAAGTTCTGGATTGTTACAAATTGTATATAGTTTGATTTCAATTGATTGTTAGTTACAATTAAAATCTTTAAGTTGAAATTCTTGGGATATGACTAATTCTAGGTCTTCCTAATAACCAAAACTAATGATTGTAAACCTTTTTCTTTAATATAACATTCTTCTTAATATATAACAGATTTTGGTTTTGATTTGTTTGCAAATTTTTCTTAGATTGAAGACAATTGTATTGGATGAAAAGTTGACAAGTTTTGCTGCAATTTGTTTGTGTACTTTTATTTGATTTATCTTTTATTGTGTATCAAAAACTTTTATCAAGTTTGCTTTAAGAGAGATATTTTATTTGTCAATTAAAAATTTTTTAATCTATTTTTTTGTATAAATAATTGTTGTTATCTGTCACATTTACTATATTGCCATAATAATATTATTAATTATTTCATATTTGGCAAAGGATTATTATACTTCTTTTAGGTTAGTATTTAAGAAAATATCTTATACTCTAATATTGTTTTCCTGTTTTATAACTGAATTTGTATATTTAATGAGGTTCATATATTTGTTGTTTATGTGAATAATAAGTTGTTGAAATTTTAATTGCTTTTTATTTATTACTTAAAATAGTGATAATGTGTTCTACCTATTTTTTCTTTTCACTTTGAATTGTTTTAAGTCTTTCTAATAAATTTAAGGCCTTAATAAGGAAAATTATCTTATGAGTTGTGGTTTTACCTAATAGATCTGTGACAAAAGTATCAATTTTGACTTTTTCTCAATTATAGTAATACAAATATATTAAGAAAATCTAGTAAAATAGCAAATAAATTAATGAATAAGCTTCAAAGATAACTATATTATAATTACTAATCAATATTTGAATAATGTTATTAAATATAACACAACTATATTCTTTTAATATAGTAATTAGTATTAATTTTTCCTTGGCAAATTAGTTTTTTTCCTGATTTAGAGTAATAACAAGTTATCTAATAGATTTTGGTTTTAAAAAGTTTAGTAATATAAATAATATATAAAATATTTTGTGTTTTTTTTTTATAATCTTTACAATATTTATGACATATTACTTTATTAAAACTAAGAAATAAGGCTAAATCAATAGAAAAAAAAATTGTTAAGGTTAAATTATAGTATATTATTATATTTGTTATAATATATCTTTATTAAGATATCAAATAAACATATATTATATTATATAAATTTTCATATAATAATTTTTGTCAACTTGCAAAAAAAAAATAAAAAAATAAATAATAATAATAATAATTTTTGTCAACTTGCTTCCAGATTGATATAATTTGTTTTTATCATGTATTAATAAAAATAATTACAATTTAAATAATATTTATATATTAGCTTACTTATTCTTGAAGTTTATTCTCTTTAGATATAATTTAAGAAATAATATTTTGTTCTCTTTATAAATTAAATTATTCTCTAATCATAAAGTTTTGTATTTATAGGTCATTACTATAAATAATAACCAATTTGTCTTTATATATCATTGATTAAAAAATTATATTATTTAAAAAATATGAGAAAGTTATTAAGCTAGTATATATCGATTTTTTAAAAAAATCACTTTCTACTAATTCTCTGATCATACACAAAAAAGATATTTGCAAGAAGTTTTTTCACTTTTTCGCTAATAAAGTCTCGATACATTCATTAAAACAACTTGAAGTATGACTCCAAAAGTCATTTTTACACTATCATCATTGAATGAATTAAAATGACTTCCTAAGATATTTTCTTATATACTGTATGTAATATCAAATATATAATTCAAAGAACGGATCGTTTTTTATATACATATATATTGTAAATGACTTTGTACCATGTGGTGTATGCGGTGAATCCACTACATTGCAACTCATTACTTTTTAAAATGCCAATGTATAATATATAGTAAAAGAAACATTGGTTATTTTTTTAATTGCAATAAATACGAAAAAAATAAGTAATTAAAATATGGTTTGTGTCATCGATGACATTATACAATAAGGGATAATTGTGTGACTATAACATAACGGGCATACACGTAATTCATGTTCCCCGATGTAGTACTATTATTATTAAAATTTACCGGCCTTTTCACGGGCTCCCATTAAATTATTTAAATTATTTCACGGAAAAAGTTTTGTAGTAAAATATATGCAGTGAGGGGTGAGTAGATCCCGAAATTCGTAAATTTCATGGGTTATAAATATAAAAAGTTTTTACCGAGTGCTTCTATGTCTCGGATTCCTGAGTTTTCAAGTTCTTGCGGATGTCCGAAAAGTCATCGGTCTCTTCGAATTTCGCACCTTCGTATACGTGTCTCTAAAAACACAAAAGCAACCGTTTAGCGAAATTTCGACGTATGTTACTTAACTCACAAAGTTGAGGAAGGAAAAATACCTCTGGCAATAAATGCAACATGAGCAATTCAACTATTACAGATGCAACTTTCTATCATCATGTGAATTGAGGTAAATGTGAGTACCACCTGATTAACGTCTGACATCAAGGTAACAAGAGACAGAATTATTCTTATTAATTAATTTTAGCTTACAAAGAGAGCTAAACTGGCAACAATATTTGTGAGAAGCGATATGAAATCGAATTGACCGATTACTCCGTGTTGCTGAAAAACAAATCGAATCCTAAAAAAAAACGATCCTCGGGATGAATAAATAAAAATGGTTGAACTAAACCGTGAATCACCATACTTTCCATTTAAACGCAAACAAACATACCCATGCCTTTCGACCAAGGTGTATGATCCATCAGAATTATAAATACTCTCCACATTCTTATACTCATTTCCGTCAATTACCTGAGGCATGTATTTGTATGAGATGACGCCTGGCTGATAAATTTTTTAGGTAATAGAATATACGTGTCATTAGATTGTTGGATCATCGATTTTATTGTTGAAATAATTTTAATGACCTTTGAAACAACATTCGAATATTCGATCAGAACGACGATAACTATCCCGGAAGATCTGTACGTCTCCCCAATGGATTTGTTGGCACCGGGTGCCGTGGATGGAGCTGCAATGGTGTGTCGTATGAGAAGAGGTTTCAGTAAGCACCGGGTTAACCCGAGATTCCTAGATAATTTCGGAAATACGCCTTACCATCCAAGTCTGCCTTGGCCGCCGCAAGAAATTCAGAGACTATTTCGGGAGAAGGAAGGTGGTGAACATCGTGTCGTAACTCAAAATGGGAAATTTCAAGAGGCGAATTTTTTAACATGTGAATAATTACTCGCAAAAATATCACCATCAGCGTTCGGATTCACTTTCATCTGTCACGTGATAAGGGAGGTTTTTTTTCTTAATGAAATTGAGACGGGAGAAAACCAACACAAGTGGAGATAAAGTTACATACTCTCGTGGCATTGTTGAAGGTTTTGATCACCGTTTTTCCATCTGCCGACATTAACGATCCGTCCAACAGTCCGTTACGCACCGCGACCGATGTCTGATCCCCTCGGATCGAGTGTTCGATCATCATCTTTTGAAAGATCAATCGGTCAGTGAAATATCAATCATACGAAGCTAGCTATCTCGTCTTGGAATGCGAACACTACCGTGTAACTTTCAACCCCACCTATATACGTTTTGTTTAAAATAACAGTGCTGTTGGTGGCAGTCTTTGGGTTGAAGTAACAAGGGTTAGTTGGGTCGGTGACCCTCAAAAAATTGCATCCGGCCGGAGGTGGATAATTTGTGACCGACGCCCTCGTGGCGAAGAATGCGACACCCGCTCCATCGTTTGGATATTGAACTAGAAATTTTTTTATGATTTTTGATTACCTTGGATGTTAAGAACACGAGTTTCGTTGGAACAAATGGAGACAAATCCTTACTCTCGTTTGCACCCCAGAAAGTACATCCAAGTCTGCCCTCGGATAAGATCATTGTCAAATGTTAGCAAGGTGACATCGGCGAATATGCACATTGCGCAGTTTAAAAAATTTACCCGTTTCCACAATAAGAAGGGATGGAAAGATTTGCTGGAGCTTGCAGTGTTATTCGAACAGCACCGGGGACAGGAGGTTCCTGATGATAAATTTAATCGCATCATAATTCTTACAAATGGGTAAGGGAATGTGTTTAATTACCGTCTTCAAGTATAGTTGCTTCAAGACAATTTCGGTTATGAGGTACACAAAGATCGCGATCTGGAAAGTTCGATACAAGATTCCCAGGCGACGACTATTTGAGTGAGTGATGCATCGAAGTGAAATCGAACGTCGGTAGCTTGAAATCACAACGCAAATAAATGAAAACCTCGGGAACTCACTCTTTCACTTTCACGATTTTAAAAGTTTCATAGCTAAATTGGGTTGTTTAAGAACAGTAAACGTATAAGATTAACATTTGTACAACGAAGAAGTAAAAGTGAGGGACAAGCAGGATTGTTACACGTCGGGGATTTTCGAACCTAAGAAGTTCATCGAAATCGACCATGATGTGGACACAAGAGATGGGCGAAAGATTTGATTACAATCAGGTGCCTTTATAAAAAAAAAAAAAGAGGTGATAGTGTATCTTAAATTTCGTGGAAGAAAACTTTATTAAGGGGATCCGATCAGGTTTGCCATATTGATATATTTATTGTCATGCATTCCGGATCGACTTTTGTAGTGATCCAATTCGCTACACCATCATTCCAACTAAAACGAGTTGAGGCTTCAAGTGATGATGAATTTAATTAAATTTAAAACCTGACCTGTTGATACGGCAAATTAATCTTGTAATTTAAAAAAAGGAATACATAACAGGCGCATGTGCATGTACGTTTGGCTAAAAATTTGGGACCCCTTTTCTAGGCCAACAACTCACAATTACGTCAGTTTTCAGTCGAGCACAGGGGCGATGTGACAAATTTCTTTTATGCACGTTGATTTGAGAGGACATGATACCTCGTATTTATTGTGCCCCGGGTGACACGGGGGGGTGACCCCAAGGGAATCCTGACCAGGGAGAATGGGAGGTGCCCACAAGACTTCGACTTGTTATAACGGCACGGAACACTTGTTTACATACATATATATCTATCTAGTATGGCACACGGTATATATACGCACTGGCGTTTCATCAAATTATGGAAAATTGTTTCTCACAAGAAACTTCTGCGATCTTTTGAAACAATTTTGATTAGTCAAAGGTTTCTTTTGCGAAATGTTAAAAAAGGAAATTCCGAGACTTCTTTTAGTCATATGTTTGATGGTGAAACTCTCGTCTGCCAACCTGAATTCAAGTGTTACTGACCTTACTATGCCGCCATCCCCGACATCAACATCCACTATCTTGACACCTTCACCGGATCTCTCTAGCACTCCAACCGCCTCTTCACGAGGCAATTACAAGTGGTCAGCCGACGCATCGAAGGTGCAAGCAACGATGAGGTCGGGGGTGTCATCATCACCTTCCTCATCATCTCCATCATCATCGTCGCCATCATCGTTATCACCAATGTCGTTATCAGCACAATCCGCATCATTTACAGAATCAAGCTTACCCAACACAAGAACCACAGACAGGAAATCCTCGACCTCCTCCTCCGTGACCATGACACCTACTCCGCTTTCATCTGAAAGCGAACCCTTAACTCCTTCGCCGAACGTGATAGCATGTATGCTGACGATTATTCTCTTAATAAGTAGCGATGTATAGTATCCTTGTGCGAGTAGTCGCCTGGATAACTTCCGGGTAATTGCCGGCAATCGCAAGCGCATGATTGTGATGGGTACGTGCAGTGCAATACGGGTACGGTAATTAGTGGTAAGTTCAAGTGAGGACACAAACACAACGATTCATTGGAAATGATTTAGTGGAATGGTCTCACCGTTGAATCGAATCAAGTTAAATTACATAAAAGTTAAATTACATAAATAAATATCACCAGACGTATCGAATATAAAAGACACGTCGTCGATAAGGAATGCGGTACAGTTTTATTGTTCATATCGGCACGCATGTACAAAGATGTACAGAAAAAAGAAAGAAAAAAAAAAAAAACAATAAATGAATGCTAAATTAATTAATTAAAAAATCAACTAATGACACATAAACATTGTACCTGTGTACTGCACCATACTCCACAAAATCTAGTGTTAGGAATATCTATGATGCGCTTGTGTTTACATTTGCGTTCACCATATATAGTACGTACGCGACCATTGTACGATGATTGTTCGCAAGAGAGATTTTTTTTTTGTTGTTGAAAGAAGTTCTCTTTTTAAATGTGCGTTTGATATTGTATCAT